GAAAAGAATTGTAGACCTGCACCAGACTGGGAAGAGGGAATCTACAATAGGCAAGCAGCTTGGTGTGAAAAAATCAACTGTGTGAGCAAATATCAGAAAATGGAAGACATACAAGACCACTGATAATCTCCCTCGATCTGGGGCTCCATGCAAGATCTCATCCCGTGGGGTCAAAATTATCATGAGAACGGTGAGCAAGAATCCCAGAACCACACGGGGGGACCTGGTGAATGACCTGCAGAGAGCTGGGACCACAGTAACAAAGGTCACCATCAGTAACACACTACAACGGCAGGGAATCAAATCCTGCAGTGCCAGACGTGTTCTGCTGCTGAAGCCAGTGCATGTCCAGGCCCGTCTGAAGTTTGTCAGAGAGCACATGGTTGATACAGCAGAGGATTGGGAGAATGTCATGTGGTCAGATGAAACCAAAGTAGAACTTTTTGGTATAAACTCAACACGTCGTGTTTGGAGGAAGAAGAATACTGAGTTGCATCCCAAGAACACCATACCTACTGTGAAGCATGGGGGTGGGAACATCATGCTTTGGGGCTGTTTTTCTGCTAAGGGGACAGGACGACTGATCCGTGTTAAGGACAGAATGAATGGGGCCATGTATCATGAGATTCTGAGCCAAAACCTCCTTCCATCAGTGAGAGCTTTGAAGATGAAACGTGACTGGGTCTTCCAACACGACAATGATCCCAAACACACTGCCCGGGCAACAAAGGAGTGGCTCCGTAAGAAGCATTTGAAAGTCCTGGAGTGGCCTAGCCAGTCTCCAGACCTCAACCCCATAGAAAATCTGTGGAGGGAGTTGAAAGTCCGTGTTGCTCGGCGACAGCCCCAAAACATCACTGCTCTCGAAAAGATCTGCATGGAGGAATGGGCCAAAATACCAGCTACTGTGTGTGCAAACCTGGTAAAGACCTATAGTAATCATTTGACCTCTGTTATTGCCAACAAATGTTATGTTACAAAGTATTGAGTTGAATTCTTGTTATTGACCAAATACTTATTTTCCACCCTGATTTTCAAATAAATTCTTTAAAAATCCTGCCATGTGAATTTGTGGATTTTTTTTCACATTCTGTCTCTCACAGTTGAAGTGTACCTATGATGAAAATTACTGACCTCTGTCATCATTTTAAGGGGGAGAACTTGCACAATCGGTGGCTGACTAAATACTTTTTTGCCCCGCTGTATTCTGGCAGTGACGATTGTGTTGAATTGGACTGACGTCAACAGTTTTTCATATTCACGGAAACTTGAAGAACTGCCCTTTTTCAGAACTTTTTAATCATCCGTTAGCTAATTGTTTTTGCTTTTTCCTCTATTCATTCTACAGTCCAGTTGTCATAATTCCTGTTTTTGTGGTTCTATTTTACACATATTCTCTGTCACCAAATCAGTAATCAGTGGATGCAGTATCTAAAAAAGCCATTCATCTGCCTGAGGGGTTTGTCATATCCTTAATAAAACTGAAAGTTCAGTGGCTATATTGTCAAATAAATCAAGCAGCTCTATGGTTACATATAATCAGTAATCATCATAGGAGTCTAGGCTACCTATATGAACACTGCAAAAGCTACCCAGTCCGGTCCGTGCTGGCCCAGATGTGAAAGCGCCATATGTGTCCTTGAGTTTTTTTGAGAAGTTGTCTGTTCCTAAGTGGAGCCTAAAAATGACGACTCAGGCTTTTCTACATCAGTAAACGTAATATTTTTTTATTATGAAGTCGATTTTGTGTGGCTTGAAATCTATTCAGAGCCATCATCACTTTTTGGGTGACTCACTATTTAACATGTACACACACACACACACACACACACACACACACACACGCACGCACGCACGCACGCACGCACGCACGCACACACACACACACACACACACACACACACGCACACTCACTCCCACATGCACACACCAAGCTAATCTATTTCAGATGGATTGTAAGAGCAAGGTCAGGTCGTGTTTGTGCCTACTCATCAGCTTGTTAAATCTGCTTCCAACAGATTTTGCATTTAACACTTTATGGTAATTAGGCTTCTTCCCAGCTGACCTGTTTAATTACATTTCAAATTCACATCAAGCACAAGTTCCTGTTTTAATCATCTGCATGTTCATTTTTACTTAATATTCCCCCCTTTTCATGTTCTTTCAAGTCTTGGTACATGTGGTGTCAAATGACAGTTGTCTGATACTTTTATTTTGTGCATTATGTCAGTGTGCACCAATCATCTACAGAATTAGGCCCATAGATACATGAAGCATAGTTTATGGCATATCTCAAATAAATTGTTTATGTTTAATATTTTGTTCTGATGAATTTAATCTAAATGAGTTTTAATCCCAATCATCTTGTTTGAGAATTTCAAATGAACTATGTCACATTTATCCCATTGGCATTTGTTGACTGCATGGTTTTTACCCTTTGATCTTGGCAGTTCAGTTGGGATTGAGTTTACTGAGTCTTTTAATTTTAGTTTAACCCAGAGTTAAGTTTGAGTTTATTGTTTTGTTGACTGAAAGGGTTTGGTAGTAGCAGACGAGGTATCGCATCCAGCCAAATCAGGTAGAGTCTATTAAAATGAGGCAGCATGCTCTCAGTTAGCTATAAATTAAGGACACAGTGCATATGCAATAAAAGCATGAACGTGGTTCCTCCTGGGAAGGACTGAAATATTGGAGATGTTACCAATGAAAATCCAAATGCTCATGTTTGCAAGCTTTAGTTTGGAAGTGACTTCGTTCTTCATGGCTTTTAGTGATCCATCTCTCTCTTATCTAGCTGAGCTGTTGACTCCCTATGTCCCTTAACATCCCCTGCGGTTGGCTGATCACCTACTCTTGTCCGTTCTAAAAATCTGCTATAAATCACGTGCGTGCTTTTTCTCATGCAGCCCCAAAATTCTGGAACTCTCTCTCGCTCTGTGTGTTTAGCTTCTTCCCTCATCAGGTTTTAGTCTGCTCTCAAGATTCACTTTTATAGTAATGCCTTCCCTCTGTAATTCATTCTTCTAATTAATTGCACAACGCTGCTATGCTTCACTATCCTGCTAGTTCTTGGGCCGATTTCCGTCTCAGCTTAGTCGTAATTCCCACCCAATTGCATCATTAGTGGTATCTCTTGCCCTCTCTGTTTTAATTTGTGTAATTTTGAGTGGGCCACATCTTCCTTCACATCTTGGCTTTGTGTCTTTATTCCTTTTGCTTGTCTGTTTACTATGTTATTATTTTCTTTACCTATGTACTGTGCTCAGCATAAATGAGTATAGCCCCTTTAAAAAGTATGAATTTAATCAGTAGCTCAATGAACAAAAGAAAAAAAAATCCAGAATTTTCACATGTCTGGGTTTTATTGAACTCTTGTTTAACTCAACATGAAATTAAGGTTAATAATAAAATATAGATCACAAAATCTTCAATTTTACTAACATTGTTTGAAGCAAAAATGAATACATCCCGCAATAAAAACTGGAAATGGGAAGGGCCTTTCTTTGTTAAGTAATGCCCTTCTATAGTCACCTGTCTGCTGGACGCCTCTTAAATGAAACATTAGACTCATCTGTGGTTGATTGCTTCGAATTTTGTAGTCTTAGTTCAGTGTGTGAATGTGTGTGTGTGAATGGACGAATGATGCCTTGTAGTGTAAAGCGCTTTGGAGTCCTCTGACTCTGAAAGGTGCTAAACAAGTGCGGGTCATTTATCATTTAAGTGTGGATTTTCTCCTAAGATTATAATTGGGGTGTTAACACTTTTGAAACATGGAATTTAATGGATTTGTTTAGAGAATCACTTTTTGTGTGCAAATTAACAAATCTTGTTTGGAATCAATGGCCCACATTTGTGGGAGTATTTCGTAGTACGGTATCTAATAGAACATGTTGATTCCGAAAGGAGACTAAAGGTTTTCTGGCAAATGTAGTGGGATGTACTCATTTATGCTGAGCACTGCATCTTTATGCTTGCAACTTATAGGTTTTTTAACCTTTTCTTTGGTGTCTTTTCTGTGATATGTCTTTTGTTGTGTCCAAGCCTTTTGCTAATTTATTGTACAACACTTTGGTTAGCTGCCATGCTATACTAAAATTGTGCTATAGAAGAAAAAATGGTATGGTATGGTATCACTCCAAGAAATATGCTCCATTATAGTGTTTGGACACCATCTCGTACCATGTCTTCCAACCATGATTTAAGTAAGTTTGCTAAGAGGAAACAACAGCAGGAATAAAGGTGAAACTTGTTCTTGCAATGCCCAACATTAGATAGTTTACCAGATACTCTTCAAAAGTCTTTTTTGGTATTGCAGCATATGGGTGCATACTGCTGGCCCTGAATTGAAAACAAAATTAACTACAATTTGAAAGGCCAATTTTATGGCACAAATTATAATAGCAGTCTCAAGATATCATCAGTGTGATGTTGCTAACTTACAGCCTTAATGTTTATGTTCATTTATTTGGCAGATGCTTTTATTCAAAGCGACTTACAATCTAGGGCATGTTGTGATCTGTGGGGGAAACCGGAGTACCCGGAGGAAACCCACGCATGCATGGGGAGAACACGCAACTCCACGCAGAAAGGCCGCAGCCGAGTTTCGAACCTGCGACCTTCGTGCTGCGAGGCAACAGTACTAACAACTGCACCACCATGCAGCATTGTGTGCATGTGTTGGATGACTTCAAATCTATCCACAAATATTAATGCAGGATCAGTATTGACCATCTATCGTGTGTGGAATACTGTTCCGTAAAGATTCTGAATTAGCATAAAACCTTGACAGCTAAACAAGATGAATGGAGAAAAACTTGAACATGCAGAACAGGGATGTGTTACAAGGATGAGCTTCAGATATAGTTGCTTCCAACAAAGGTTATTGGAATCAAACCCATGCAGTGTCAGTTTAGTGTCAGTGTTCTTTTAGTTTTTGGAAAGGCAGACATCCAGAATCATTTTCTTCAAACGCCCAAAACATTTTAATTTGTTTATCTTAGGAGCGTGTGGTGGTGGAGAATTCTGATTGGCTGGCTGTGGTTCCATATTGGGCAACGTGGCCCTACCAGACACTGCTGTTACCACAACGACACATCCTCAGAATCAATGATCTAACAACAGAAGAGAGAGAAGGTAAGTGTGTGTGTGTGTGTGTGTGTGTGTGTGTGTGTGTGTGTGTGTGTGTGTGTGTGTGTGTGTGTGTGTGTGTGTGTGTGTGTGTGTGTGTGTGTGTGTGCGCGTGTGTGCATGCGTGCGTGTGTGTGTGTGTTTGTTTGTGTTAGTTTGAGACAAGATACTGACTGTGCACGTGACTGGGAGAGTAATAATAATAATAATTATGCATTGAACTTATATAGCGCTTTTCAAGAGACCCAAAGACACTTTCACACACTCTCACATTCACACACTGCTAGTGATGGTAAGCTACTTGTAGCCACAGCCGCCCTGGGGAGGTCTGACAGAGGCGAGGCTGCCATTTGGTGCCGTCGGCCCCTCTGACCACCACTAACACAGGCAAGTTGGGTGAAGTGTCTTGCCCAAGGACACAACAGCAGGATACCCCTGGCGGGAGCTGGAATCAAACCCATGACCCTCCGATCATGAGGCAACCCGCTCTACCACCTGAGCTACTGCTGCCCCATAATAAGGCGATTAAGATCTTTTTGAAGAGACTCAGCGACTCCGTGAAAAACCTGCAGCTTCTCCTGAATCATCATTCACAGCACATTCTCTCTTCTCTTGGGAGAAAACAATGAATTGAAGATGCTTTGACACAGGGAGTTCACGGATTGATGTTCATGATGTTTAATGTATATAACCTTCAGTTGATTTCGTTCAAAGCAAATAAAATCAAGCATTACTACTATTAGATATAAGTCAAATGTGATTTTATGTAAAATATATGAAAAAAGAATGAGGAGGTGATTTGCAGACTATTCTGTGTTGGAGCTATCAGTTTAAATAGGCATTTATTGAGCAAAGCAAAAACATGAAACATCTACTTTTCAACAGTTTTTCATTGGGCCATTTTTTTCTAAAAATATAAATGACTTTCAAGCCATTTCACACAGTATATTTACGTTATAAAAAGATAAACCGATTTTATCATGCCTGCCAAAACAGGGCATAAGTGCAACATCAGAGCTGATCACTCGCTTTTTTACCCTGGCAAGAAATCCTATAGAGCTTTTGAAGTTATTGTTTACATCTGGGTAACTGCTCACATCCAAACTTGTCAAATGATAAATGACCCGCACTTGTATAGCACCTCTCAGAGTAAGGACTCCAAAGCGCTTTACACTACAGTGTATCATTCATCCATTCACACACACATTCACACACTGATGGTGATGAGCTACGATATAGCCACAGCTGCCCTGGGGTGCACTGACTGGCGAGCCAATTTTATTTGTACAGCACCTTCATCTCAACAGCGTGAAACTGACCAAAGTGCTTCTGAGAAATAAAATACAATTAAAAACAATACACAACACAAAAATCCATAAAAAACTAAAACTTAAAAACCAAAAACTAAAGACTCTCATAGTGACATAAAAGCCAACGCATAAAAATGGGTTTTCAAAAAAGATTTAAAACCAGACAGAGAAGATGCCAACCTAATGTTCAAGAGCAGCGCTTTCCTGTTTCCTAAGCCTAGGGGCCACTACAGAAAAAGCCCCGTCACCTCTGAGCATCCTATCAGCCAACCTCAGAGACTGTGCAGAAGAATGAGAAACCATTAGCTCAGAAATGTACCTTGGAGCAAGACCATGCATAGATCTAAAAGCCCATAAAATTATCTTGTACTGGATTCTGAAATGAACAGGCAACCAATGCAGTGAGGCCAAGATAGGAGTAACATGCTCCATCTTTTTCTTGCCAGTGAGCAAACATGCAGCTGCATTCTGCACCAATTGAAGATGCAAGAGATGGGATTGTGAAACACCAAAGTACAAAGAATTAGAATAATCAAGCCTTGATGTAATAAAAGCATGAATTACCATTTCAATATCCTTTTTTTGACAGCAAGTTCTTTACCTTGGCATTCTTTCTTAGTTGATAAAAAAAACTAGATTTAGTCACTGCACTGATCTGCCTGTCCAAGACAAGAGCCCCATCCAGTACGACACCCAGAGAGGCCACATTTGGTCTCAAGAATGTGGCAAGCTGACCAAGGTCAACCACACCAACCCCAGATGAAGCACTTGGACCAAAAACAAAACCTCTGTCTTTTTATCATTAAAAGAAGAAAGTTTGAAAACACCCATCGTCTAACCTCTATGAGACAATCTGAAAGAGATTGCAAAGAGTGATTGAGGCCCCTCTTAAAAGGGACATAAACCTGAGTGTCATCTGCATAAAAGTAAAAATGACACCATCTGTGTTTCTTAAAAAATTATCCTAGAGGTAACATATACAAAGAAAACAACAGTGGGCCCAACACACAACCCTGGGGAACTCCAAAAGAGAATGAAGCATTAGAGGATGTAAAATCCTCCAATGAAACACTGAAGGTTCTATCAGCCAATTACGACACAAATCAATCCAGGGTGACTCCACAAACACCCACACATTTTTCCAGCCTAGAAATCAGGAGAGTATGGTCAACAGTAGTGACTGCAACTGATAAGTCCAACAATACCAAAATAACAAAGTCTCTGGAGTTTGTTGCCAATGGAATGTCATTGAAACCCCTGAGCATTGCCGATTCTGTATTGTGGGCTGGCTTAAAATGGGACTAGAATTTTTCCAAAATGTCATTTGCCATCAAATACTCAGTCAACTGAGAGTAAATTACCTTCTCCATTAATTTAGAAATAAAAGGAAGTCTAGAAATAGGTTGATAACTGGTTGATAACTAGCTGGAGGGCAACAATGCCATCTCCAGTTACTATCCATAGGGGTATCTCCGCAATTTAGGCTAACAAAATAAAACTTAGGAATTTAGATCTTACTACTTTAGATCGTTCAACACATCTTTGTGCAGATTAACACAAAAATAAACATCTCAAAGCTGTGTTTAGCATAAAGCTTCCAGATTCACATTTGAAATAGCTAGTGAGTCTTAGTGACGACAGTCCTCAGAACCAGCCGTCTGTACTTTGTACAGCTAAACTGAAGGTGTAACCGGATCTCTTCTGTGTTTAGCGGGTAAATGCTGAACGATCGCTGTTACGTCTTTGAATATTTACGGATGCTCCATTTATTTTGATGAGCAGCGTGAACAGAAACACGAATGAGATTAGCAGCTGCTTGCTCAGATTACACATCACATTTTGTGTAATTATTTTAACAAGACTGTTACTACATGCCATACAGTACTACACATCCCATTGGCGTTGTCGTTTTCAAACACATTTGTTGCTTGGTCGGTCGGTTCTCCCCGGCTCCTTGTATCACTGGTTTAACAATATAAACATGCTAAAAAGCACAATAAATAAGAGTATTTACATAAAAGCATAAGGCAACGGTAGCAAAGTAGTTAAGTGCCTGCCATGTAAACAGACAGAGGTGTGGACTCAAGTCACTTGACTTGGACTCGAGTCAGACTTGACTCATTATTTTAATAACTTCTGACTTGACGATAAAATCTATAAAGACTTAAGACTTAACTCTGACTTGAACTCCAATGACTTGAATCGATTTGCATCTGTTGACTTGATAATGACTTGAGCATATTTGATATTTTAGCACAAAAGTGGCACGACATGGACAAAAATCATAAATCATTCGTCGTTCTGGGTTTGATCTTGTTCTGCTGAATGCAGCAGCACTTTGTTTATAATGAACTTCAGTTGCACTTCCTGCTTGTTTGAGCAAATACAGTAAATGAAGCTTTAAGAAGCTTTATTTCTGGAATTTATTTATTATCATTGTCATTAAATTGAAGTTGGACAGATGACTTGATTATTATTTCAAAATTCAAAGTTAAGGACTTGGACTTGACTTGGACTTCCACATCATTGACTTTGGACTCAATTTGGTCTTGACTTGGACTTGACTAGAGACTTGACTGGAAATACTTGTGACTTACTTGTGACTTGCAAAGCAGTGACTTGGTCACACCTTTGTAAACAGAGGGTTGCAGGTTTGCACTCCACTCAATCTATTGCAGTCATTCTGTCCATGGGCAAGAATGTCACCCACTTTGCCAACTGGTGGTGGTCAGAGGAACTGGCGGTGCCTATTGTAACTAAAATCATGCTTCTTATGTTAATATATGGTTTTCTTTTCAGTTATTGAATCAGTTATTGTGAAGAGTATTTCAAATTTGCATATCATCATCAGACCCCCAACTTTGTTTTTCTTCACCCATAGTGGGGTCTCGGCCCCACCTCCGGGACACACTGAAAAGAAACCATGCAAAAAGAAACGTTGGTGTAGACTGTCATCAAAATTATCTTGTTATTTTAGATAATACTGATTTCATGCAGCCAAACACTTGAATGCTCTCATTTCATTGATTCATAGTGACAGACATTAGCTCAAACCTAAATACCCATTATGGTGTGTAACATTCATGTTGTTCATTTCTTGGTAGGTTGACATGTTTGATTTTCCCCTCTAAAAATGGTGATGTTTTTTCTTTTTATTGATTTTTGTCTTTTTACAGTTACTAAGTCTTCTTCCTCCATCTGTGCCTTTATTGCTGGTTTTCAGGTCTAGCGGACATCATGAAGCGACTGTTGACCAAATATGACAATCTGTTTGAAGTTTCTTTTCCCTACTCCATGGGCTGGCATGGTAAGCCCAAAAGTGAGAGTGTGTTTGAGTGTGTGTATGCTGGAGTATATATTAAAAATAGTTATCAAACTGTTTTTGGCATAAGACTGTCTAAGGGCTGCTCTGGGTGCCTTTATTTAATTATAGAAGGAGTAAAAAACAGATGGTAGAAAAGATTAAATACACAAATACCTTAAATCTCGTGGATGGATTAATGGACTGGAATTTAAGTTTGCTGCTATAAACAGGATGCTGCAGCTGTATCAGGTCAGCTTTTGGCCAATTCACTAAGGAGGATATAGATCTAGAAGGAAGCCCACTTCATGGTAGCTTCAGAGCAGCACGTTCATCAGTAATGTTATGCTGGGGCTTGTCACAGGAAAGGGCTTTAAACGTACACTAGTGTTACACAAAATGAAAGGGGAATAACTGGAGAGAGGGACAAGATGGTTTGATGTTGTCGTACCGTATTTAAGTTATGGTGAAAGTCACACACACCAAAGGTTATAAACACTCAAAATATCCTTCAGCTCACTTTTTTTTTTCCACTTTTTCTAGACATTATATCCTGGTGTGTTTTTAACAGCACAAGCAGTAAAGATAAAGTCCTACCTCTCTGTCATATATATATATATATATATATATATATATATATATATATATATATATATATATATATATATATATATATATATATATATATATATATATGACGGGGGGATTCTCCATGAATTATTTAATACCAGAACATTTCCAGTGAATAATAATTCAGGGTGATGGTGGGAGCAAAGAACAAAATAGTCTACAGTTTTTAAAAAAGTGTCCAGCCCAAAACGGAAGAATTAACAGGTGCGAGCATTTTCACTGATAGTTTAACCACAGTATCATGATTACATCACAACTCTGCAGCTCCTGGGTTCTCCGCTATGTGTGGAAGCTGCTCAAGTTAATGGCTCAAGACCCATTGAAACCAATCTGAAAGCAATAGCTTAAAATACTAAAAACTCTTTGGTCTTGCTTTAACACAGATCAGATCAGTGTCACACAAGGATGTGAGTTAAGGTGCAGCATGTGTTTTTAGAGGTTAGATAACACTTGTTGCATTTAAATCATCTTTGCTATAATAAATTATGCTAGAACCTCTCATCTTTGATGTCACCATCATACTTAGTGTATTACCACTTCAATGCACACTCAGACAGGCCAGAATATTTAATGTGTAAAGGACACTCTCTCTTATGTAAAACAGGAGGTCTCACATGTGAAGGAGACACTTGTGGTGTCATTGCGGGCTTTCACATCAGATCAAGCAGCAGAGCAGATACTAAGACTACAGGATGTTCTTTTTATTTAGCATATTTAAATGTTGAGGTGCATTTTGGGAACATGACATTGATCAAGCATCTGTTTATATTGTATGTAATGTTAAATTTTAACATTTGAATTAGTTCTTTATGTGCAATGAGGCTTGATGAATCCCCTTTTTACTGCTCTTTGTGAGTATTGTTGATGTTTGTGGGAAGAATAAAGGTTTTTATTTTTGTACTGATATTACTAGTACCTGGCTGCATCTTTATTTTGGCTTTCAGAGCTTGATGCTTCCTATAATGAATTCAAAAAGGTTCTGCTCAATATTGACGTAATAGCATCACACAGTGTCTGCACATGCTTGATCGTGAACATGTTCAAGAAACCTGCTTGAGATGATCTGAGCTTTGTGTCAAGGTGCATTGTCCTACTAGAAGTAGACCTCAGACGATGGGTGCTCTCTGATATCAACAGCCCTAACCCATTCACACAACTTCTGTGAATTAGACTTAATCTTCTTTTGGCCATTCTCTGGAAATCTTAAAGGTGGTTGTGGGAGAAAAATTGGTTTCTTAAATAATCAGACCAGCCCATCTAGCACCAACAACCAGGTCATTGGAAGTTCCTTGAATTGGCCGAATAACAATTTGTTTGATCAAGCTATTGAACAATTGTACCTGAAGAACATGGATACACTGGTCCCTCATTTATTGCGGGGCTTACGTTCTAAAAATAACCCGCAAAAGGCAAAATCTGTAAAGTAGCCAGCTTTGATTTTTACAATGGTTTCGATGTTTTAAAGCTGTAAATCCCCTCACTACACACTTTATACACTTATCTCAGACAATCATCATCAGATCAGCATTTTCACACTTTGGTTTAAAAATTTTCACACTTTGGTTTAAACACTCTCAGTACCCTAATCATTACGCAGAACACTGTGCGTTGTAAAAAAAAAAATAATAAAAAAAATGGATGCACAATTCCACTAAAAATAAGAAGGTGTATTTACCAGTTTTCCCTAATTTACCAAAGTGAGCTGCTTTAATGCTTTTATGGGTTGCCTGAATGTTTTTCCTCACAAAAACACTGCTAGAACACCAATTGCTGATTATATTACAGTCTTAGCATCACCACGAAAACAACCAGATGTGCTACCCAATGCATTCGGTTCAGGGCCAGTGTTCCACTCCTCTCCTGCCCCTGCGCTGCTACCACTGTAACTTTTAAATCCAGGCGTATCCCTGGATGTGCACCAAGCAAAGACTTTTCACATGGTCACATTTAATGTTTTCCTCCTAGCCGTAGACATTTTCTCATTTCAGACTTAAATTGCTACCAGCATATATGGTTACCGCTAGCTTGTTCAAACAGCGAAGTCACGCAATTTGAAAAGAATCATTAAAAACTTTTGCAGTTCAACTACCATGTCCTGACGTCCGAGCTGAGTTAAAATAACAGCACCCCGGAGACAGTAGTTCAGAAAAAGTGCTGGATTAACTTTCAGGAGACATCCAGGTCTCCAAAATACAGAGAACATCCAAGCCCTTGTCCACGAAGAAGTCCCTGATTCAGGAGGAGCAACGTGAGTTTCGTCCTGACTGTGGGACACTGGACCAGCTCTATACCCTTAGGGGGGTCCTGGAGGGTCCGTGGGAGTTCGCCCAACCAATCTGTGTTTTGTGGATTTGAAGAAGGCGTTCATCCGCGTACCTTGGGAGGCCCTGTGGGGGTACTCTGGGAGTATGGGGTACCAGGCCCTCTGATACGGGCTGTTAGGTCCCTGCGACCGGCGTCTGAGATTGGTCCACATAGGGAGCCTAAGTCACTTCCGCATCATGGATCCCCGGAAGAACGAAAAAATGAATACAAGGCAATGGGGCTAAAAATGCTATTTTCTAATTCCGCTTGTTTTGTGCCATGGATTTCACATATGATGTCCGTGAATTTTAAAGGCGCATTTTGATAGCAAAAACTTGCATATTTTTGAATGGGGAAACGATATATTAGGTTTTGTGTGAAAATAAGTCCAGGACTACAAATGCGCTTTGCAAAAGTGACATCATTGAACCAGACATGGAGAAAACTGAGAGAAAAGGGCTATAAGTTCAGCCAACTTCTCACAGGAGGAAAGGACCACCATAAATCTGGTCATTTGGTAAGTTGCAGCAACTTGGGGAGAGGAGATTATGTGGTGACATCACATATGCGACGTGCCGATTTCTAGTTTGTAGTTGTGCTATTTACAAACTTTTACAAGCTAATAAATCTCAAAGTACGTGACTGGCATGGTCGAAACACCCATCAATAGTTTTCATTTAAATTGCAGTACAACATATTTGTGATTCAAGGCGTAAGGCAAAGTGGGTTAGAAAATAGCCCCGTTAATTGCATTCATTTTTTCGTTCTTCCAGGGACCCATAATGCGGAAGTGGTTTAGGCTCCCTATTGCCGGCTGTAAGTCAGGCTTGTTCCCAGTTAGAGTTGGACTCTGCCAAGGCTGCCCTTTGTCACCAATTCTGTTCATAACTTTTATGGACATAATTTCTAGGTGCAGCCAAGGTGTTGACGGCATCCATTTAGGTAGCCTGAGTATCGGGTCTCTGCTTTTTGCAGATGATGTGGTCCTGTTGGCTTCATCAGAACGTGATCTTTGGCTTTTGCTGGAGTGGTTTGCAGCCAAGCGTGAAGCAGCAGGGATGAGAATCAGCTACTTTAAATCCGCGACTATGGTCTTGATTCAAAAAAGGGTAGAATGCCTTCTCCAGGTCAGGGATGAGGTCCTGCCCCAAGTGGAGGAGTTTAAGTATCTTGGGGTCTTGTTTACGAATGAGGGAAAGATGGAGCGTGAGATCATTAGGCGGATTGGTGCTGCATCTGCAGTGATGTGGGCGTTGTACCGGTTTGTCGTGGTGAAGAGAGAGCTGAGCCAGAAGACGAAGCACTGGGTTTATTGGTTGATTTACGTTCCTACCCTCACCTACGGTCATGAGCTTTGGGTAGTGACCAAAAGAACGAGATAGTGAATACAAGCGGCCAAAATGAGTTTTCTCTGCAGGGTGGCTGGGCTCTCCCTTAGAGATGGAGTGAGAAACTCGGTCATTTGGGAGGGGCTCAAGAGTAGATCCGCTGCTCCTCCACATCAAGAGGAGCCAGTTGAGTTGGCTCGGGCATCTGATGAGGATGCCTCCGTGGTGAGGTTTTCTGGGCACTTCCAACCAGGAGAAGGCCTAAAGGGAGACCCAGGACATGCTGGAGGTACTATGTCTCTCACCTGGCTAGGGAACGTCTTGGGATTCCCCATAAAGTGCTGGTCCAAGTGGATTGGGAGCGAGGTCTGGGCCTCTTGACTTAGGCTGCTGCCCCCGTGACTGTACTCCGGATAAGCGGAAGAAAATCGATGGATGGATGGACAAAGTTGTAGTGTTGACAACTTTGATGCCCCGTGATTTTTAAAGTTGAACTGAATTTTGTTGACAAATGTGATTATGTAATCAACATTATACATTGGTGATCTTCTCAGTCCCTACACCCCTAGCAGTTCCCTGAGGTCCAGTGACCAAAGCCTAGCAGACAGTTACTGGAACAGTCTTTTCAAAATAAGACAGTTCCCAAATCTTGTTCCGCCAAGAACTGGCTCAAATTAACTTCTGGACCAAAGGTAACAGATCATTTGCTGCTGTGGTCCCCAGACTCTGGAACTCTCTCCCCCT